GGAGGGAGGGAGAAGCCGTTACATCCAGGCCTATGCAATGGGGTGGACCCGAAATGAATAAAGCTTTTTTTATCTGTTTGGGCCTCATTTTGATAAAAAAAAAAAGGGGGGACCAGCCCCCCCCCCCTCCCCGGGCCCCTCCCCTGGATCCACCACTGAAAACACAATTAAAAGAATGAGGCCAATATACAACATATTGATCCAACCAAGCTTGATTAATAAAGGAAAAAAACTCTTTCTTGCACGACAGATGCGGAAAATCCTGAGCAAGCAAGATGGACCCATCTTGCCTGCACGGGTAGCCAAAGGCTCCCAAATGCTCTAACAAAAGAGTGAATATAGGAGCAAAAACCCGTGAACACAGTCCACATGCTGAATGAAAGGATTACGAGATCCTTTGGCTGACTAGCATTTTGACATGAAAGTTAAATGCCCAACTGGGAGTGCCTCATTTTGGGTCAAATTCCCCATTGATGAAGCAAAACTCCAGTCAAATGCCCTGGGTATGCCCTGAGGAGGGTATTGGGCAATTTTGGAGTTGACTGGTACATTAGTGAGCATAGAGGTCGGACCATGTGTCAAGTGGTTGCTAACAAAGAGGTTAAAACAATGGAAAACTAAGAGACTATCACCATCACCCCTGATACCCTGATAAAAACTTTGCCCCAAACCGTATGTCTTCCCCAGGTTAAAGAATGGTACAGGTGACATGAGACTGGGGGTGATGAAGGAATGAACTAGTATCCAATCACCGGGGGAGGGGAGGGAGAATAGCATCTCATGACAACTATTTACTTCATCTATTCTGGCTTATATAAAATTTTCTTACTGTTCATATGGCTTTACAACAAAAAAAGTTTTTGTAGTCATTTAAACTAATATATTAAGCAAAATATACCGACAAAAATATCCACGACACGGTTTAAGGCGGCGAGACATTTTTGATAGTTCTTTGCAAATAAGCAAAAATAAGAGGAAGATAGAAGAATGACATGATGATTGTGCCTACCTTTATAGCGATCAAACAGATGTGAAATCCTTTTCTTATCTACTAGGGGTTTTGTATCAATGAAATATCTTTCTGGATTCTGAAAATAACTATCTGACGCCACCTCCAGTCTCCAGTCATTTTGGCTGAGGCAGTTTATGGCTGTTTTCTCATTTGTCTCAGTGAAAGATATAAACTGCCTCACTTTGTCACGCTGCGAGGACTTGAGCCGGTTCTGCAAGGCCCAACATGGACATAAGAAAATAGAATTCTACTTAAACGAAACCACGTTGGAAAACAACGATCTTCGCAACATAAAATAAAAACAAATGCTCTTACCATCTCCACATCACACAACCACCCAAAGCTCGTCCTTCGAATCATTTGATGAGCCCGCTGTCCTACCCTTCAGAGACATGAGCAAAATTTTTACTTACGGGAGAGGCCTAGTGCATTTCTTCTTCGGTTGGCGGGGGAAGGCACAGTGTAATACACAATGACGAGAAATTCAAAACTTTTGTTGTTGTTTTGTTGTAAAAACTTAATAAGTTCTTAATCTCTAAGAGAAGGATGATTTATCCGAATATTATACAATATTTGAATTTTTTTTTCTCACCCCATCCGACACATCAGATTGAATGACACCAAACATCCCTACAAGTACCCCCACGGGGGTGATATTGTGCAAGTTTCTCCACTGGATGCTCCTAGTCATGTTTGAAAGTCACAAGGCGAGAGAAAGAAACTTGAAAGCGTTTACTCTCGAGCCATGATTGCTTTGGCTATTCCCTCATTTAGGAAAGTGAAAGATGAAACGGAATCAGGATATTTTGTTTACGAAATTCATGTGACAAAACCAAGTGGTCGTGAGGTTACGATCGAAAGACGGTTTCAGGAGTTCTATCAATTCAACAAACAAGTCTGTAAATCGGTCAACAACCCTCCTCATTTCCCATCAACGAAGCTACCTAAGCCGCTGAATACGAACACTAGATTTTTGGAGTCGAGAAGAGCAGCTCTGGAGGAATACTTGAGAAATCTTGTATCGTTAATCGAGATCAGCGAAGTTCATGACCTTTTGACAAGATTTTTGGAAACCAATTTGCCACAGCATATTCGAATGCAGAATTTAGATTATTCAAGAACCAGTTCGATTGAAGATCTTGATGGATATTCAGTTGAAGGACCTAAATTGACTCATCAACCTCTTGTGTGCTTTGTTCGTGATCCTTTTAAAGATTATGTCTGCAGCACAAATCCTCTACCAGATGTTGTCCTACAAGGTACTTTGGAAGGCTTGTATGGAAATCTTCAAGCTACACAAGTCACAGATTGTTTTGATAGACTTAGAGTTCAATAAACGGCTGTCTTAGGTTATTTTTTTGAGCTGAGCCTGACTGTCCGTCATGAACAATCAAATCTGATATTACACATTAGGTTGAATAGAGGTATCTATAAAAAAAGTTGGCACCCTAGCTAATAAATAAGTACAATATTCGCCATTTGTGCATCTCCCATCATACACCTTGTTTGTCCCCCAAAATTTTGCATAGCCTTTGTCTTTCATTTCTGTTGAGTATTACGGCAAAAGACTGTTTCTTTTGGCAGGGGGAGGGGGGGGGACAAGGTGTATCATGAGAGATGTGCAAGTGGAAAATGAAATTTTACACAGTAAAACAAACATTTTATGTTATATGAGATAGATTGCAAATTTGAGAGGTCACCATCTTGATTTAACTTTGTGTGGAAAATATCTGGAGAGAATTGAAATCACTTACATAGAGCAATCAGGATTTGCACTCTGCCCAGATACTATCAGTACTCTCATAATCGGCTTTCATACTTGACAAACAGACAGAAAATTGAAAGAATGTGACCAGTCAGAGTCTCTGGGTCAAGTTAATACTGTGGTAGTGAGAGGGTTATAGAAATTGGGAGTTTGATAATGAGAGAAAAGGTAAGATTTCTATTAAGGTTGCTGTTATTTTTCAGCACAGAGATGGCAGTCTTTTCCAACAGGCAAAATTTATCAGCAACAGGCACAATTAAAAGGGAAAAAAATGTTATTTTCATAACAAATTTAGGCATCTTTCATATTATAGCTATTAGTAGTTTATCATATTTATCCATTTTACTTTCTTTCTTATTTTTCTACTTGTAAGTACTTTTATACAGAGTTTTTGATTATAACAGTCAAAAAGAGCAAGGATCCATGTGATCATTAAAATATTAGTTTCAGACATCTAAGATTAATAGAGGTTCCTTTATGTTGTTTTATTTTTGTATGAATACTTATATTATTATGAATGCATTGAATTTGTCAATGAAAACATAATAGTACCGCCTATTTTGGGGTATTGGATTTTGAAGTTATTTATTAGCCTTTATGTGGCTGTACACTCAGGCTAATTATTTATTAGGCTTAGTTGAAAAGCAAAGTGCACACAATGGGTTGTTGTCATTATTAGTAACATATTTTATATAATAGTATGAATAATGCAAATAAATAAAAATATAGATACCTGCTCCTTTATCATTATTTTTTTTATTTCCACATAACCCATAGCATATATTAAAGTGGTTGAAAACAACACCCTCTTAAAATTACTGAACATAACTATGATGATTATTAAAATCATCAATGAAATGCTTTTTTCAACCTTAGCCCAGCACTCACCAAAGGAAACTTAAAAGTGACGTAGTTCGCAGTGGGAGAATCTAAAAGAGCCAAGAGACTCAACGTTATTGGTTAAAGAACTCTGAGAGCATCTCTCTGTCCAACAATTTTCACTGGCAATAAAAATATTCTTTATGATTCTTACACAATTTCAGACAATAGGGGGTGCTTCCACCCCCTCACTCCCTCTAAATCTGCCCATGATTGCTGCAGAGAGTATTTGCACATCTGTTATATAGAGAGAGGACTTGCTGTTAATTACAGGGACATTGCAACTGTTTTCAGCCTTTTAAACAGCCTGAAAAAACTGGTGACATTTGGCAATGCCACCACTGGTTTCTCAGCCAATGACATCTGAGAAACAAGTGCAGAAATTGCATACTGATGACGCGTCACTACCCAGATCTGGGTAGTGCTTCTGATTGGTTGAATCAAATTTCCCTCGCGGCACGACTAATCAGAAGCACTACTGAGATCTGTGTAGTGACACGTCATCAGTATGGAATTTCTGCGCTCATTTCTCAGATGTCATTTGGCAGGGAAACCAGTGTTAGCGTTGCCAAATGTGGGCTGTTTTTCTCAGGCTACCTTGTAAACAATATTGCCTTGGTTTGCCAGTAGCACAGTCTGAAAACGTTGTCTGTCTCTTTGCCCTACTGCCCTTGCTACTTGCTGGAGG